AGGTAATCTGGCTAATCATTGAATCTTGACTTTGCAAGAGAGCACTTGCCTCATTTATCAGTCTTGTGTTTTATGCCCGTCCGGTCGTTCTTTTAGTTTTCAGCCTTTCTATAAGGATCCACAGCGCTGCCAAGTCTTCTCGTGTGATGTCCCGGTCCTTGATTTGGGGGGTTTCGGCACCAAATTGTTAATATGAAGACCCAGGAACAGCAGCAGCTTCACAAAACTGAAGATCTTTGATTCCCGACGTGCGTTCAATGCAATAAAAAAAATGGTAATGAAAAAAAAAAAGAACAAGCTCCATGCTCGCCGTCCACAAGCGCAGGCCCCGATCTCGTTTGGAGGCTTGCCATTCTGCTGCTCAACTCTTCTTTGCTGGTACTTGACTAGTTTGATCTATTTTCAACATACCCTCTCCTTTGATTGTGGGTTTCTGCTGGCTTAAATGTTGATTAGAGTTATCTTCTTCAGACCATGCCAGCTATATGTAATGTTGGTATAATGACACCGGGATTCAGTTTACACTGCATCAAGCTTACCAGAAGATTTGTTGCTCATATTGTCTTCATTAATCATGAATAAGAAAGTAAAATGAGAAGCAACGTGAATTGGAAAGTCTGCATCATCTGTCTGTGCTACCTTATGAAACAGGAATAGATATAAAAAGTACACCATAAAGCCCTTTGAATATTAACTGGACAATGCAACTGTGTATTTTATGGTTTTGCTTGTCTGGCACTGTTTCATAACATCAATACAAAAGGTTAGAAGTAGAAGAAGATGACAATTTATTAATTTATTTATACATGATTCAAGATGCAAAATTTTGTCTGTACTGCTTTCTTAGTATCAGTTACTACAGTATTGAGGAGTTTCAGCGACGGTGTCATTGCCCTGGCGGCCGGTCGCCGAAAGAGAACGAGGGGGATAGGTTCGCTGGGCGGTGGCTTTGTGTATATGCGTTGGCCGCGAACGTAGGCTTATAAACTTCGGCAGCAAGAATATTACGCGGCTCTAGTGTTTCGGTACGAGCAACAGAGGTGACACGATCTGCTACGACCAGCTACGACCACTCGCCGCAGCGATGCAGGCGTCGAAGGAGCGCAACCTGTGTACTACGCAGTCAGCCGCCGTCGCCCGACGCAGATCGTTCGGCATTCAGGGCTTTCCGCCCCGGGTTCTTCGCTTGTACTTGGAACCGAGTATTATTTCCTGTGCTTGTGTATGTGCTCAGTGGCTGGATATGGACCTCATAGAGCAGTTCTTCAGACTCAACAGCGATTCAAAGTTGACGGCGGAAGGGCTTGCGGCAACGCTTTCGGTTGGTGCACGGCTGCGACGACTACACGGATAAATTTTAAGATTGGTGCTAGCAAGGTGGGCCATAGTCGCTTTATGTTGACACGATTTTGAGTGTAAGTACTCTGTGCAAAGGCGAATCTATCACGTTTCTAATCCACCTTTGTTTTTGCTGTTTTTAGCACGCACGACCGACTGCTAAGCAAATGCTTCTGTACCGATCACGGAGTGAATGTCTTCGGCCTTACATTGCAGAACGCCCAATAAAAAGTCATATTCGTTCAGCAAGAAGACTTCCCTTTCGAGTGACCTTCTGATTGATAATTTCTCCCGTACTTCAGTGCTTTAATCAACACGATCGATTAAGTTTGCTTCCCTAGTTAGGACATTTTTGTGCTACATGCGGCACTAATGCTTGGCACGATGTTTGCCACTGGTGGTATTGTGAATTGGTTTACTTCCAAAGCTAACAGTGTGACAGGTGGGACCATTCAATTTGCTAAAAATGTGATGATATGGGAATTTCGTTGCATAACTAGCGTTTTACGTTTAAGATTGATAAGAAACATGCTCATGTGATGATGCATGTCTACAGCATAAGCTTTGCAGATCCAGAATAGATGTGCTATAGGCTACAGCCTCAAGGTTTTTAATGGACCAAATTGGTGATTACACGGCAATAAATGTTGTGGTGAAAAACTGCCCATTGACTCTGTGAGTTTTGATTGTGACCATTGGTGTGCTGTTGGCAAATTAGATAATGGCACACCTTTTCCCTGACCATCTGGCTTCAAGGGGCATTGCATCTAGATGTGCTCAAATATCTTTATTTCAAGGTTCAGTGGACCCCTCTGCATCATTAAAGGAAGGCAGTCTCAAGCCACAAAAAACAGCAGTGAATATACAATGCATAATAACAGGCACCAGTGTCCAGGCGTATAGTCCGCAGTAATCAGTTTGAGCCTAAAAATGTTTCTGTTTTGTTTAGATAGTTTGCATTTGTTGTATAATCCGCAGGGCCCGATTTCCGCGCCCAGTGCATAGTCCGCCAAGCTGGTGCATTGTGTCTTCGTGCTTTTTTTCCTGGGTGGCATTTTCTTCAGAAGTTCTTCGGTGAACGCTATTGAGCCTGAAGAACTGCTTTTGAGGCCCATATCTAGCCGCGGAGCACACACAAGCACAGAAAATAACACTCGGTGCCAAGTACAAACGAAGCACCTGGGCGGAAAGCTGTGAATGCCAAATGAGCTGCGTCGGGTGACGGCGACTGACTGCGTTGCGCCCCTTCGACGCCTGCATCGCTGTGGTGGGTGGTCGTAGCTAGTCGTAGCGAGATGATCTTCACTTCAAGCAAGAAATCTTGTTATACCATAGTCAAGATATGTGTGCAAGTGTTCGACGACGTGGGCTCTCTCACGTTGGTGCAGTTGTCATCAAGAAAGGTGCATATCAACAATGTTGCGTGTTTGAGGCTGAAACTATGACGCATACTTATCTAAACCTAAATTTATCGGTCTGCGGCTACAAACATTTTCGTTGACGTTGCTTAGATGATGTAACCATTCAGGCCTCGCATTAAATGGTGTTGCGACTCTTCGGTTGTGTATGAAAACCTATTTTTGCCCCAATAAAAGACATTTCCAAAAGGACATGTGTCTTCTGCTGATACATATCTTCCAATTTACAATGCAGAGGCAAACAGAAAATCAACTGCATACATCTACCACTTAGCATAAGCACCTTTGGCATTCATTCTTGAGCACACTCAAATATCAGCTTACTTTGGTCTTGTTTTAGAAGCTTTGCCCTGTTCTGTAAAAATAAAACAGTTAAAAAAGCTTTACCTTCGTTCTCCTTCTTGCATTTAATACAGACTTGTTTGTCAGCAGATATCACCGTGGCACACACAACTCGAATGACCGATGAGACTATTGCTATTACAATAAAGCTTTCCACAAGAGCCAAAACGAGGCTTGTAGGGGTGCAAAAGCACATAGAAATGAGATTGGCACTTCCGGGGATTGTTTACATTACGCGTAAAAACAGGACGACCGGCGACCAGCTGATCGTAAGATAACACCAAGGATACCGATGTTTCGATACGCAGGATAAAGACCTCAATCGTCCCTTGTATGCTGCAGTTGTCATACTTTCTATCCAACCGCTTTTTTGCTCAATTAACTAGAACAACCGAAGAGTTCGCGACACCTTTTAATGCGAGGCCTGAATGGTTACATCATCTAAGCAACGTCAACGAAAATGTTTGTAGCCGCAGACCGATAAGTTTAGTGTTAGATAAAGTATGCGTCATAGTTTCAACGCGCGAACAATGTTGATATGTACCTTTCTTTGGACCCGCGTACATTCGGTTCAACTTTATGACAGCTGCACCAGAAGTGAGAGCTCACGTCGAACACTTGCACACATATCTTGACTCTGGCAAGACTTCTTGCCTTCAACTGGCTTGAAGACTTCATCTGTAGCATCACGGTAGGTCTTGGTTGAAACGATGATCGTCTCGCACACGGCAACAAACAGAGAACTACACGCTTTGTTTTATTTATACGCTACCGGTCTACGGGCGTCGCAAATCTATCCCCCTCTTGTCCGCCATGTTGGATCGATCGGAGCGCCCCCTATATTCGCTGAAACTCCTCAATACCAAGAGGTTGGTTTAACTACAAAGCCATGAAAGATTTGTATCACAGCACTCTTTTAAAATTGTATCGTAGCATATAATCACTCTTTTCTACACATACACATCATTATCATAGCCATTGTCCTGAACACTGTCTAATTAAAAATTTCATGGGTTATTTTTGAGTGCACCAGAAGTCCATTTTCTGAAGAATGTATCCTCCCCTGGGAAAATAGGACAGATAGTTCCCTCGAAATCGAGTAGATTAGGGGCAGTACTGGCTTCACAAAGCAAGGCCTCTCTCACGGAACTGCCCCGAAATAACTAGCCAGAGACGACCAATGTCGATTCATGGTACCACAGATAACCTTAGTTACTCTCTCCTACAAAGCTCTTGTATTTGTGTGTGCTTTTGGCCAAAAATATAATAGGAGCGATGGGAAGACAGGACAGCGATTGAAAAGAAGGGCCTCATCCCTGCACCTGAACCACTCCCAAAAGAGAAAATGACCCTCACTGGTGAATTTAAGTCACTGCAGCCCCTCACAAATTGTCCGGTTCACTGAGTTTATGCGAGCACTCAAAAACGATGCGTGGAATTTATCATTACCTAGTAGTTGTAAAGAGTTTTCAAAACAAATTATAAATGTCATCCTATTCTTGAACAAATGAAAAATGCTAGTCCAGCATTTATTCCTTTCTGCCTTCCACCACAAAATCTTCTGTGTGATCAACTTTTGTAAATGCGACCTGCTCTGTGTTTCCAAAAAGGGGCCACAATGTGAAGAAACTCTACCATTTCATTGTTAGAAAGACCAGTGTTGATTGACTTCTCAATAGTTTTACCTTGCTTTATCCCCAGACAGGATCATATTGAAAAGGGGATATAAGTCAGTGTACCTAAGGCCTGATTTATGAGGAAATGGGTGTGTCGGACCAATGGTGAACATGTTAACAAGAGCGAAAGGTAATTCTAAAGTTCCCTGTTCTGCCAGTAGTGCAATTCAGAAACCAATAACGTAAATCTAATTTAGAAAAACGGGGCACAGTGGGAAGGACCAACCTCGCGGATCATTGGTCGCTGTGCATGACCGCTGATGACCCCCGTGAGCCTGGCAGACAGAGAGCAGTATGTTCCTCGAAGCAGGAAAAGCACGAAGTTGGCCACGGAGGCCACCCTCACGGCTGTTTCCAGGTGACCCAGTCCGCGCTCCACCTACAAAACAATGCGGTCAAGGAAAGCTTCATCAGATGCCACTAGCACTGTTAGAGTGGGAAACCTGCTTTTCAGATTAGGCAAACCGCCGCTGGCTAGACACACTAGGTGTGTCTATGGCGTGGCTCAGATGGTCAGAAAAAATTAGCTGTAAAAAGTGGTGCCTGCAGCTAGCAATCTAATCTTTTCTTCAAAAAGGCATTCTAGCAATGGTTTTGCTTTAAAAAACTTCAAAGCATAGCTTCGTTTTTGTAAAAAATGAGGATACAAATTTTGATGAGCGTCTTGAGATATTTACAAACGATAGGGAAGCTAGACACAAAGGAGGGAGAAGGACGGACATGTACAGACTTTCATACCTTTCTTAAATTAATGTTGAACAGTGAGCCAAGACAAATGAGGCACTGCCATGTTTGTGAGCCCTATCCAGAAATTATGCAACCTGCCACCCAGCTTTGTTTGATTAGTGTAATGGCTGATGCACATTGTCTCATTAAATTATTAAGGGAAAGTCACAAGTAAAATGTGCTGGAAGCTATGCCAAACCGAAATGCCCAACAAAGTGATCCACGAATCAGAGAAAGCAGACAACACAAACAATGCACACGACTGAAAGGCACCGTATTATTTCCGAAATTCCTTGTGTTTTTATTTTTATTATTGGCAGTATTAACATTACTGTGTCTAGCTAATTTAACCGTTTGTCATATTATATAAATGTTACCTTTAATAATTTTTTGAGCATGCAACAGAAAACGATTAGCAGCTCATCTCCTGCTTCCCAGAATGCTTTGCGCATGCTGTGAAAGAGAACGAAAAAGTGGGCCATGGCCTTTCAGTTTTTCTTTCTGAGATTCTCAGGTCTAGTCTAATTGGTCACCATCAGCTTTCAATAGCTTTATTTTGCAAAGAAACATTTGCATAAAAAGATTCTAGAAAAAATGATGCAGTATATTAAGCTCACAAGGCAATGAAGAACATCAATATTAAAAAACACCCTTTGCACTGTGTGTGCTCCGCATTGCTCAAACATCTTACATCTTTCCTTTCATTTAAGCCCTGGCTAATAGGAGTATAAGTAGTGCTTATAAAATAGTACTGAAATGGTAAGCAGGCACCATATTCCCACGTGGTACTGGAATTTCGGCTCGCCGCCATAATAAGCAAGTAAAGTTGTTTGTCAACATTATAAAGAAACCAATATCCTGCCCAGGACACCCAAAAACATTTTCCCTAGTCTTCCCATGTTAAGGAATGTACCCTGGCTGGTGCCACAAGTTGAAACCAAGCAAAAAAAAATGTCTGGTGGGACAGGCTTTCCAACTCTATACACAAACTCATCTCTGTTACCTTACGGCGCAGTGATGGCGCGTCGGGCGCACTTCCAATCTGGGGCTGTGGGCGGAAGTCCCCATGGGAGACGTGTATTCCTGCGTTGTTTTGAAAGGAACCTGACAAAAACCTTCCTTCTCGTCAAAATGCCGCGACTGGGGCTGTACCAAAAGAGTCGAGAAAGGTTTGAAGATCAGTTTCCATGTGCTCGGTTCGTCCGAGAACGTAGATATCTGCTTTGAAAATCGAAAACCAGACGCCGTCGGACCATGATTGCTTGGGCGGGAAGCACTTTGAGTTGAATTCCCGGATACTTGTGGTCATCAGATTCATTTGTTTTGTTCCAACATGAGCACAAGAAAACCGTCAAGTTGTACGAACCACCTGCGGACTACATTCAGTGCGTCTTCAAGTTCGAACGGCCACCTGATCGTTCAAACTGTCGCCTGCTCTTTCAAACGCTTCTGCTTGTCGTCTGCTCCTTTAGACGACACCGGCCCGTAGACCAAATGTTGGCCCGGTACTTGAGATAAAAAGTAAGTGCACACCTCAAAAGACTTAAGTTTGAAGGATGGTAAGCAGGCTCAATGTAAACAGTAGATACAAGGAAATGTTGATCATTGTTACCAGTGGCCATCACCGACTCGTTATGCCTGATTTACTTGGTCCGATCCTGCTTGCGATTTTCAGTATCGACGTCGACCATCTCAGTTACGGTTCACGCTTCTGCAGCCTGAGCAATGCTGCGACTGAAAATTGCGAGCGAAATCTCATCACGCGAATCAGGCTTTAGCGTACATTCTGCGGCGTCCACGCGGAATGAATTGCCGCATGTGGCATTATTCACGGGAAGTTTTGTGATGTAACGAGCCTCGGTAATTTCGCTGAGGCCACTCAAGTAGTAAGGCATTGCCAGGAAGACGTAGAATCAACAATTTGAATGCGAAAAAGGGCAGAGGGACTCACAGCGACGCCGACAACATCGCATTTCAATGGTTTGTTTATGGGCGACTGCGAGCTTGTTGCCCACACTCCATCGTGCATGTGCGGCGCCGGTGGCGTCCGCTAGGGGCACTTTGGTTTGTTTGTAAACATGAGTTGGTGTATACAAAGGTCACCTTGAAGCCCAGAAATGCACTCAACTTATAGCATCAGGGCCGGCCTCCTAGAAAAAGTCTTAACTAGGACTGCATGAAAGAAAGCACTGCCAAAGCTAGAATATAAGCGGAATGGCACGCAAAGTTAAACTTCAAGCGCTCCCGTGCCCTAGGTTTGGCAGGCTTTTTTTCACATAGTCTTAGCTAAGACACTGTTTTTAGCAGGCAGGTTCAGGTTAGCTAATGCATTAGTATGAAGAGGAAAATGTCCTGTGAAGACTTCCCCTAAAAACTCAACATGAACATACCTATGTGCAAGCTGGCATTGATACCCAAGTGGCAAATCTGTACCGGGAGAACAGGATGCGAGAGCCCCCCACACAAAAAAATCTGCAGGAACCACCAGTAGGGAGGATAAACTGCTGGCTTACCTGACAGCGCCGGTGGTATGAGAGCCGCCGCAGGCCAACTCCCAGACAGCGCTCCCGGAGCCAGGGCAGCAGCGTGCCAAGAGAGACCAGTGCCAGGATCTGGGCCCGAGAGGCCCGTTTCACGGTGCCCCGCCCGGCAAAGTACTCCAGGCCCAGGAGGCGCTGTCCCACCGTAGATCCGCAGTCCCACACCGTGAACTGCACGCACGGACATGCAGGACACATGTTGCTCAGTCTCCGAAAGTTCGAAATTAATCTGAGGAGCGTTTACACAATTTTTTTTCTCCCTCTTCAGTTCAATTTACGAGAGCAGAACTTGGCAATGTGGGCAAGTTGCTTAGTGACTAATGTTAATGAAACGGTGCATGAAAACACAAAGACAAGCAGAAGAAATTCTTTGTCTCGTGTCTATTTTTTAGTTTCTGTGAATGCTTTTTTTTTTTGGCAATAGTGGTTGTTGCCGAGCTTCGTTTTTGCAGTAAATTTTCACTTGTCAGTTCAGCACTTGTCCCGTGTACTCCTTTCGCTTGTCTTTGTAATTTTGTGTACCGTTTCATTAATGTTACGAGAGCACCTGGCAAAAGGATAGGTGCTGTAAATAGAAAGTCTAATTTGTAAACTTACCATAAAGCATTACCTAGATCAAATTGGCACTTCAGCAGCACTTTAACTCTCAACAAGAGGTGCAAAAGCTTTTGAGCCTGTAATTTTTTAAGCAATTGAATATCAAGTGTCTCATGGCAGCAAAGCTCTGCCCAAGCATGGTGCAACAGAATTGATTAGCAAACAAGCACAAGAAGGGCTTCCCAGTTAAGATGGTAGAGTTCACTTTTATGAGAAACCTTCCATTACCCTAAATTCCGCCGTGAACCTGAAAGCGATTCAAGAAAGAGGCAAAGATTGTTACATTTTTTCCAAAGAATTCGGAACTGCACCTGGCCACAGGTGGAGATCATGCTTTTGTTAATATACACCCTTGGAATTTATACATGCCCGACAGCTGAAAAGACCCTAAAAAGGATTGCTTGCAATAGAAAACTGCATTTTGGTATTCTGAAGACACATTCAGTGCTGCAAAGTAACCTGTGGCTGCATAAGCTTTCCTGTGTTGCTAGATTTGAGGTCCTATGAAACCACTGTAGCATTTCTTCTTTTCCACCTCCAGAGTGCTCATACTGAAGCAATCCACCTCTTTCGGAAGAGCTGGTGCCCCCTGTCGTAGACCTGGAATGAGGTTTTCTGGATAGGAAGCTCAAGGAAAGGAAAGGCGCCAGTAAGAGGAGTAGATAAGCTTCTTCAAACTAGTTGGGAAAAAGATAAGCCACAATGGGCACAAAATCAATGTTTTAGGAGCTCAATTTAGGCCACAGTAGCTCAATTAAGCCAAAAGAATCTAGCGCCACCACTTAGAGGGATGTTTGCAGCCTCTCATGCTATGCTCACGCAGCTTCATATCAAAAAGTTCTCAAACCAGGAGTTCGGAAAGTGGTAGATTTTCGCCACAAGATAACCCTGCCTTTACTGGTGGCATTTTGAATGGCACTGGCTACATCACATACAGTCACCGTTAGTTCACAGAAGAAGAAGTGTAGTTGAAATTGATGTCTTTCTTTTGCAGGAACTACCGCGAAATAAGAGGGGCGGGGGGAATGCTTACCCCATTTCCACTGAAAACTGTGTTAATCTAGACATGGGCACTTGCCAGGTCGAATTTACAAATCCAAATGTAAATTAATTCGCTTCAACAGAAAGAAATTATCTTATACCATCAGTACTTCCTCAACTTTGACCTAATGGAAACCATTTCAACATATAAATATCTTGGTGTAAGACTACCATCGGACCTCTCATGGAATAATCACATTGAAGCCATACATGCTGACTCACTGAGAACTCTAGGCTTCATTCGACGTAACCTGCGCAGTGCTCCTCAACTTGTCCGCAAAACGGCGTACGACACATTCATTAAACCAAAATTAGAATATGAAGCTTCCATGTGGAGTCCCCATCAGGCCTGCCTCATAAACCACCTGGAGGCAGTACGAAACCGGGCCGCTCGTTTCATCTTGCCCACCTGCGACTTTTCTGTGAGTGTATTGGTGTTAAAAAGTCAACTAACCCTGTCTTCTTTGCAGTTGCGCAGAAAACCCTCCCACCTCTGTCCACTTCCTAAAGTCTACTATCATTGGCCCGACCTCAAGAACTCTTTGCTATCCCCTCCTGACAGAACATCTTCTCGCCGTAACAACTCTTGCACAATCAAACATATTTCCGGTTCCACAAACGCATTCAATCAGTCTTTCCTTTCTCAAGCCATCTGCGAGCGGAACAGCCTACCACCCTCCATCGTCACAATCGTAGACCCAGCAGTATTTCTATCAAGCTTAGTGATTCATTTTTCTTGTTATTAGTATTTTGTTTCCATTATTTATGATTAACGAGCTTGACCTAGATGTATTATTTAGCCTGTTTTTTTTTCTTTTCCTTAACGGGCCCTTAACGTGAAAATAAATTAATTCAGCCACTTAACGTAAAATTTGCAGAATTCCCAAGTTTGGGAAATGTTAAGTGGCGCAGGAACGAAGTGGCACTCCCACTGTGTTCTACGGTAGTGCAAGCAAACAAGAATTCATACACATTCTGTGCTTTATGAATGTGAAGAATTTACTCTCAGCACTACAGCACAGTTCTTTGCTTTGTTTCATATTTGGAGACTTCACTGCCATACTCTGGGGAGGGGGGGGGGGGGCCTGATTAGAGACAGAAAACAAGCACCACAAAGCGATAGTGTAGCCAAGAGGGCAGTATAATCTCAGCTAGGATGACAAACGCTCGACTCCAGTGTGCCATACCTGTCATATGCGTGACTCTGACTGAAGCTATTGGGGGACATCTATTAAAGTGCCTTTTTCAAGACTATGGTAGTGTGGGATTCTTTGGGAAATTGGCACTGAAGCAAAGTTTTAACTGTCTGCAATAAGTACATCTCTCGTGACAACATCATCTGGACAGATGTCTTTGTTAGTAATGAAGCCAAAATATCCTTCATGTGAGAAACCATAAACAATGCACTTTCTTGTGTTTTCGCTGATTACCCTAGTTACTTCACCCAGCCCATATCAATGTGCCGATCAATTTTCCGAGCTGCACCAGCAAGTTCAAGCAGAAAAAATCAAACAAATCCAAACCCCAGCTGGCACAATAGCAATTATGAGACTGTAACGTAGATGCACTTGTGGCGACAATACCAAAAAGTATGCATTTCTTGCAAGTTGCACTGTATGCAGCAAACACAGTGTGTAACTTAGTACAGTTGGAAGACTACCACAATACGCAAAATCAGAAAAAGAAAAATGCATGCATGGCACCACTTAAGTTCGAACATAGCTTTTCTTACTTACAAATGCAGTAGGCTGAGCTGGGAACACAACCAATACTGCCATTTGTCATCAGTTTGATTGTAGTGCACCTCTGATATGTTGTTTTCTAGTCCCAGACCAAACACTTTTGCAGAAGCATTATTAAGTAAGTACAAAATGCCACCCCAAAAAAAATTTTTAATTTTTTTTTATCGTAAAAATAAGCTACACTTTGCCGAATGCTTATTCTCTAGAGGTCCGACACAGATGCCAAAGTTTCAACACTAACCGTTATTCAAAAGTTAAAAGTGATTTTCTCAAATTTTCAATCGGAAAATGGGGCCCATTTTTGCCCATTCTTTGGTAGCTGGCACCATAGAGCTCCATGTATTCAAGAGCTCTGATGGCTGCCATTTTCCCATTAAAAATGCTAGAAAATCCCTTAGAACTTTTGAATAAGATAATGGTTAGTGCTGAAACTGTGGCATCTGGTGCAGGCCTCTAGCGCTACATTTGGGTGGTAAACAGAGAGCTTTAGTATTGCGTCTAGCCTGCGCATGCGCGTCGTCGCCATTCGCCAATTTAAGACGCCGTTTGAAACTCCGCGCGCACACTGGGGAACAAGCAACGCTAACACAAACGCCCAGTGCTTGCATTTGCACATATACGAAATACTAAAACTCGCTAGTGCGCGTTCGGTGATGCATAGTTTACTTTTTCAATAAAAAAAAACCTGTATTTTTTTTTTAATTTAAAGGGACGGTGAGCTGAAATTTGGATTAAAAAAAAACAATGCTGGAGATGTAGGCGGGACGCTACAATCCCTACAACACTACTCGTAAGGCGATATGTCGAATGGACGGCCGCATTTTTAGAAAAAGATGTTGAGATCGAACCAGGCCGACGAGGCGCGTGACGTCAAGATACCTAGTTTCCTCCTCTCTTCGCTTCGCTCCCTCAAGGCCGCGAGGCGGAGAAAACGCAAGGCCGTTTCCTCTCCTTCTCGGAGAAACATGACGTCATCATTCCTGCCGAATGCGCCTCTTTTTTTGAAAAATATGGTCATCTGTTCGAGATATCGCTGTATGAGTGATGTTTTGGTGTTTGTAGCATCCCATTGCACGCTTTTGAAGTGTGTTTTGGGGCATCCAGAGTTCGGTTCAGCATCCCTTTAAGACATTTTGTATAAAAGTACCCCGATGCCAGTTTGCCAATATGCCTGCAAACCATTTTATGGTCCCTTGAAGGTATGTATCCAGCTATACTTTGCTTCAGCATAACCTGACACGGGGTAACGGCTAAGGCCCCCATGAGCCAAGCAGTAAGCAGAGCTATGTAGAAAGGCACATGACAATGTATCCTGGTGAAGATTGCGAAATCTACATAGGGCTGTAGATTTTGCTCTTTGCCAAGTTATGCTGAAACGGAGTATAGCTTCAATTCTTTGCTTCGCTTGTTCAAGCAGCCGTAGAAAAACATCTCTGGCATGTGGCTTATTGCTTTACCCGCAAGAGGTACTAAAACCTGCCAACTCACTCCATACAGCAGGGCCTTCAGGATGGCTTTTATTTCCGGCTCATAGGTCGGGTAGAAGCTGCCCTGAAATGTGAAAAAAGGCGAAGACTGTGTGAAAATCATAGACGAATGCTAGAGACCAAACGAGAAGTGTCCATGTGGTATCCTAATATAACCTAAGTGTCATCACACTGCCTATTAGCGTAACTAACCTGAGTTTTTGTTGCTGTTTTTGGATGATTAGCAGTACGATAAAAATACAATGTTTATCAGCATGCCCTCCATGGTATTGTAGGAAAATGATGGTCCGAAAACGTTTTGCTCAATACCCCTATACAAAAGCTCACCGGAGAAAAGCTCACCGGAGAAAAGCTCACCGGAGATAAGCTAACCGGAGAAAAGCTCACCGCAAAACCGGCAGATGCGGAGAAAAGCTCACCGATTTTTTTTTTTAACTATGTCCTCTTTCTTGTAATATTCTTGAAGGTCATTGGGCATATTTGCTAATTCCTCAGAAATTAGTAATCACCCATTTTGTGTATTAATGAAGCCGCAAAAATGATATCAGAACATTGTACATCGGTAAAACAGACAACAGTTTATTGACAACTGAGGGTGCGCCGTCGGTAGCTCTGTCAAATAAAGGGGTTTGTTCTTTGTGAGCTAATATGAATAGCGGTGTGTGAACCGTTTCAGCTCCAAACATTCTGTAATGCCTAATAGTTAAGTAGGTATTTGTTGATGCAGTCAGTGTCGGCTACGTTGTTTTCTTTCTGTTAATTTCACTAAGAAAACTTTAGTTGCGAGAACAGCTTCGTCCTGTCGTGTTTGTTGTCTTCACTCGGTCGTCGTCGTTTGAGCGGTTTTCATCATGCATAACGTTCACCCACTCGCCCTATTCGCTACCTTACAGAAGACTATTTCTTATATAGGTCACGAGTAACAACGGTGCCAGTGTGCAGCTCTGAAAGTCATGAGTGGCTCACCTTAGAAGGGCACTATCACACAAAGGCAACGTGCGAAACACCAGCACGAACGGCTAGAAAACGTGCATGTCCGCGGAAGAAAGAAGCCTCAATATCCTACTGACTGTTTTATCCTGTTTTCAAAGGTTAACTAAAACTTCAAAGAGAATTTCAGGCACCGCGTTGTTGCGCATGCACTTTCGGATTTTCGGTGTTTACAGTTTTGATTTTTAGGTTTTAGGGAGACTTAAGTTTTCGACCTCTTTCATGTCACTCAAGTTCATTAAATTTTCAGTTAGGCTTGAGTTGCCTAGAGAGTAAGCCGAAGAAAACACTGGCCCGCCATTTTTAATTTGGGAGAAATATACTTAATAAGCTTGGCAAATAATACAAAAAAAGACATTTTCTTTTTGACAAACCTGACGAACTTTAGTGATAATAAATTGATATATGTTACGCATGATCCAACAGCCTCCATAAAAAATAAGAAAAAAAAATCGGTGAGCTTTTCTCCGCATCCGCCGGTTTTGCGGTGAGCTTTTCTCCGGTGAGCTTATCTCCGGTGAGCTTTTCTCCGGTGAGCTTTTCTCCGGGATTCCCTAGTCGTGGGGTAAATTACGCTTTAGATCTCCAGCAACAATATTCCCTTCATTGTTGATTGTGCAGGATACTTACATCGACGTGCTTGAATACATCGGCCAGCTTCGCCTTGAACAACGTAAACAGCTCTCCATCAAGTTCCTCGGCATCTAGCTGGAGTAAGAATGTTCAAAGTAGCGTGATCATCGCCTGCCCTACAACTCAAAAAGAACAAATCACCTGATTCACTCGGGAACCAACGATGGGCTTTCCGTCGCTTGACATCGGCACTAAATCAAGTTAAACCAAAACCTCAACGCACAAATAAATTTTCAACACCCCTATAAGGCATAACGTGATTTAGGGACAAAAGTAACCGACTACATTCCACCCTAATTAACTCGGAGAACAACTACCCTGTCTTTCACGAAAACGCGCAAATGAGGAAACGGGTGGCGCCATTTTCGGTCTTGTCGATGTCGACTAGACCGACCTTGTGGTGACGAGTTGAAAACCGCCTAGGTTAGTTTCGGTTTAGGAAAAGTTGCGGACAGAGTTCTTAAGAGCATTGTACGAGCATTAGCATGCGAGTTTAGAAAGTGCCTTTCTTGTACTTGTGAAAAATAAGCAAGGCAGGATGGTAAGTCGCACTGTCTGAACGGTCTGAACCTGTCATTACGTTTTATTTTTATCATTACTTCATTTTTTCCTCAGTAGGAGTAGGTACAGCGGAGCGCAAGCTCATCTGCTTCTTTTGCAGGGGTTGCGGAGCCGTCAGAACGCCGAGCTCTGATTCGCTTTGATCAACGTTACTAAAGCACTCAGTTGGGAAACTCCCATAGAGACAGCTTTGAAAAAGTGGCCCCAAACTGTCTCCGAGCACCGAGCTAATGACGAACACACCATTTCTCCCGCAGCGGCCACTCGACAAACTGCACGTGACTTCCGTTTTGGCTTTCAGAACAGATACAGCGGTAGAGGTTACAGGGTTTAAAGAAAAGTTTATTGACACTGTAAACTGCAAGACGTAAATCACACCGGTATACAATAGGAACATGTACGCTACAAATATCCAGGGACGGAGGTAACGAAAAAACATAACTTAGCGAACCAAATATGGCCGCTGTTTACATCTCATCAGCACACACGAGGAGGGTTCTCTCCTTTACCTAAGAAATGTCAGTGTAAGCCAGGCGTAGCGTTCGGCTGGCTAACGTCATATCCCCCCCCCCCCTCCCCCTTTCACCCCACCCCACGCCTCTCACACCTGTGCGAGAGGCGCGAAAAGCAAGTGGATGTGACCACCGACCAGCCGGACGTAGCGGCAAGACCACCACCTGAGGAACTCTTGTGCCACCCCCGTCTCCCCGGCGGACGCGCCGCGTTGAGCTACCGAAGTTAAAATGCACCTAGGGCGGGACGTGCTACCTGAAAGGCCTGCTGAGGCATGGTTGTATAAAAACAATATTAATTGTGCCGCAAAACCCTGCAAACTAAAGATTTTAAAAACATAACGCGCCCCTCTTTTGGTACTATACTCCAATAAATTTCATACAAAAAGAGTCTTTTTCGTTTGTTTTTACGCAAAAACAGGCTTTCAAAAAGCTCAAGGTGACCACAGTACAGACAAATGATAAAGAGTGGCGCTGTTGTCGCATTTAGCTCGGTCTCGGTGGACGCCAGCGGCCCAGGTTTCGACGGCGAGTTTCCCAACTGAGTGTTTTAGTAACGTTGGCTTTGATTGAGGGATAGTGGGTAGACCTCAAAGCAAGCTGCCTTGACGTCTACCCACTATCCTTCAATCAGGCTGTGTTCCAAATCTTACCCAATGGATCCGAGTTACTCCGGCGGGTCGTGTCACGTGACAACACAGATTGAAAAGTGCTGGACGCGGGTAGGTTTTTGAACGCCAAGGTACAAAACCCTTTCGCTGGAGTAAGATCTAGCAAATTTTGGAACACGGCCTCAGAGTCAATCAGAGCTCGGCGTTCTGACGTCACCACAACAGCTGCAAAAGAAGCAGACGAACTTGCGGTCCGCAGTCCAGCAAGCCACGACTCATTAAAAATCGGTTACTTCATTTAACTAATTCTTTATTTAATTATCTCAAAGAAGACTTTTTTTTTTTTTTTTTGGAGAGGGGTTGCAATTATAAGAACGCAAAATACTGCGAAAGCCGGGAGACGTCATAATTAAAATAAAAACACTGACTTGACACAACTAGAACATTTCTTTTATTAGGGTTCTAAGGACGTAAGAACGTAACCACCATTTTTAATCACCACAGAAGGGTATCGAAATAAAAAGAATAACCACCTAAAACACGCATTACACAAATATAAAATCTATACAAAATTACAGCAATGAAAACAAAGTATAAAGCGTCCGATATATATATATAAAAAAACATTGTTTTTTGGCTTGCGTAAATAAACTACTCATCGCAAAATTCTGAAACAGCTGAAAGAGAGTTTGAATGTGACGCTAGTGCCCGTGGTGATATAATGAGAAAGCCTGAGAACATTACATTATCTTGATCGAGGATGTAAAATAGAAAAACGAAATTTCTCTATGAGCCGATATCCACCCAAAAACCAAAATTTGTCGAACAAAAAAAAATCACGTTAAAATAACTTTCTACTAAGAAAGATAACAAGATAATCGTTCTTGCTCACAAGTTGTTTTTCGGTTTGACGAATTTTAGGCCTAGCTGGACGTCGGCTTACATGGAAATTTCGTTTTTCTGTATTATTTCTCGATCCAGGTAATGCCCTGTTCACAAACTTTCACGTTCTATCACCATTGCTAGCGCCCATTCACAAAAAGTTTCAGTTTTTTTGCGATGCGCAGTTTATTTACGTAAACAAAGAAACGTTTTTTTTTTTTTTTTTTTCGGACACTGTAAAGAATTTATACACGTAGCCACGCACTGCTGATAATACAAACGCTCACACGTGTCCTCGAATATGTTGGTAGCAATTTGGTCCGGTTATCCAGTACGTTCTGCAATGAGAAACCCAAGTTCGTCTGCTTCGTTTGCAGGGGTTGTGGTGACGTCAGAAGGCCGCGCTCTGATTGGCTCTGATTGAAGGATAGTGGGTAGGCCCCAAGGCAGTTTCCTTTGAGGGTTACCAACTATCCATTAATCAGAGTCAATCAGAGCTCTGCGTTCTGACGTCACCACAACCCCTGCAAACGAAGCAGACGAACTTGAGTTCCGCATAGCCAGTATTACGGAAGAAAACAGGAAATTACTGTCAGGTCGTGCTTGTTTAGATTGACTTAAATTATCTTCTCGAGGGGAAGGAATCTGAAGTGCGATTAACCAACAAATGCGGTTAACTTTGCGCCCAATCGAACAGTGATAACGGCTCTGGCGACATGTCACTCCATGTCTCGTTTTCCACATCTGGTATTTCGTCGAAACAACTACACAGCACTCGCCGAGACTTGCCACCCTCGGCGGCAAGTGGGTTCTTTTATGGTGTGCGTGTTAGAGTGCGACCTGGACAGCAAGCTCAGGGAGCTCCCCTGAGCTTGCTTTGACTAGGTGTCAGTTAAACATAAAACACACACACACGCATACACACACGCATATCAGAATTCGGGTAAACCTTCTCTTTTAATGTGTTTACTATATAACATCTTTAAAAAAGGATTTAGTTTTTACGTATCCGTGTATGTTTTGAATAACTTTATGCAGGGCCGGCCTTACTCCGGCCGTGGTGCACCCCCTGCACCCCCCCCCCCCCCCCCCCCCTGCCAACTCCATTTTTATACGCCATGTCTACTAGGTAGGACGACACGTTGTTAGTTAGCGGCCCTACATGAGCAATTTGTCAATCGATATCGAGAAGCACATTCTAAAAACGAACGGCGATCGAGCACATAGCGTAGTGTTTAAAAAACTTAAAAAGCCATAAATAAATCAATAACTCCCTCTCTCCCTCCCTCCCCCGCCAAGCTACCCTGGAACAGACGCACTCGGAAAGTTTCATTACATATGAATATACATAGGACGTTTTTGAAGGATTGTCTTCGTCGCCAGCTTGACTACGAAGCAGGGGCGGATCCAGAACTCCGGTTTGGGGGGGCGGAAAATTTGTAAGGATACTATTCTCCCATTCTATCTTGTGCCCCGGGGAGTTTATCCATGTCAAATTGCCCTCCGAGAAGGGGAGAGGGGGGGGGGGGGGGCGCCCCCGTCGTCCCCCCCCCCCCCCCCCCTCCCCTTTGATTCCGCCCCTGATACAAAGTGCTAAGAAGTTACAAATGCAAAAATCATAATAGTTTTTTTCTGACAACAAAATCTTGTAAGAACTACATCGCGCCGCGTACAAGCTGTTCGTAAAATAAGTGTGTGTATCTGTGTGCGCGTGTGTGCACGCGCTCGCGCTCGTGTGTGTGTGTGTGTGTGTGTGTGTGTGTGTGTGTGTGTGTGTGTGTGTGTGTGTGTGTGTGTTTACATAATTTGTAAGTTATGACTTTTTAATCAGATCTCTAGCGCTACATTTTTGAAAAGCCTGGACATGGGGGGGGGGGGGGGGGGGGTAGCGTTACTTCTGCGATGTAAAAACAATTCGCATCTAGAACACAAAGGGCAATTGGTTCAAATCGGTACATCAAGTTCGTTCCGGTAATCCAAACGAAATAATAATAATAATAATAATAACAGCAAGAAACTAAGCCCAATTCTACCCTTCGATTTTGCTGGTGAGCAACCGAACGGGCATATATGAATGGCGCCGCGACGAACTGACGGCCATTCTCAAGAATGGGCCTACGCGCTGCTTGAGAGGGCAAGGCCGGAAGACATATGCCGTGGGCCTTGAGTACAAACGGGTTTTCTCTCTCCTCCTTCCAAGTGTGTGTGGGGGGACATCTCCGCCCTCGCCCTCGCGCCTCGCACACCTGTTCCCTTCGGACAACCGCCAGCGGAGGAAAAGAGGTCAGGCATGTGGAGGCTCAAGAGCAGCCCCGTTCGCACCCCCCAAACACGAAAGAAACTTTACACCTCTAGAGACGGGATCACGCTCCTAATGCGTCATACAAAGGACGGTCTGCGGACAGTCTGAGGCGTATCCCCAGATAATTATGTTATCATATCTGGAGAGAACACCGTGTTTCTCGAGACTGCGGCTTTATAAGGGTGTAAAAAGGGTGTTTTGGAGGCTTATTACACCCATGACTAAAGCCCCTTCAGTGGCTTTACTTTGAGGAATGCACCTTTTTGTTTTTTGGTTTTGTCGAAATATAGGGTGTCGATGTAACACCCTACGCCACACGTAAAATGTGTGTGGAAAAGAATGGTGAACACCTTTTTTTTTTTTTTTTTTTCCTTTTTTTAAATGTGTTTTGCTGCACCCACCTCCAACAGCTTGCTTTACCGAAATATGACGAAAATACTTAGGATCTCGTGTTTTCGGAGTTTATATTTCTCGTGAAATTCGGGAAGGGTGTTTATTCGGAGTATTTTTCGCT